TGTGAAGGAGGTCCCGAGCCATCCTGGTCTTCCCTTCTTGTATGGGGGCAAGGCTCACCCTCCACTTGCATGGAGCCCACTGTCCCCATGGGGGACGTGGTCCTGGGCAGTGGCACCATCCCTTCTGCCCCCAGACCCTCCCATCTTTTCTCCCTTTCTTCCTCCCTAAGCAAACCCCAAATCCAGCAGGGCTCAGGCCCATATTAAGGCTGCATGTCCTGCATCCTTCGCAGGGGGTCGAGCCGTGGCCAGTGGGACATATGTGGACGTGGGGAACATGCACCTGGTGGGGAGGGCATGACCTTTCCCTCCTTCCCTGCTTCCTGCAGTGGAACTGGGGCTGCCGGTGCAGACAGGCTTGGGGACCCCACACTTGGCACAGTGACGAGGCAGAAGGGCCTGGCCACTAACACCCCAGCCTCCAGCTGCCCCAAACCACATCTCCAAAAGTGCATAGACACAGAAACCAGCATCCGCTTTGTTTGTATCACTCCTGTGTCCCCCCAGCTGTCCCCGCAGCTGTGCTCCCCCCGGGGCTGTGCTCCCCGAGGCTGTTTCCCTAGTATGTTCCCTCAGCCACGCTTCCCCAGGCTGTCCCCCAGTGTGTCCCCACAGCCATGCCCCACCCCCCCAGGCTGTCCCCCAGCTGGGCTCCCCCCAGGGATCCCCCCCAAGTAACACTCAGACACATTTGGGTGTTACTGGGCTCAGGGAGGGGACAGCCCGGCACGGAGATGAAGCCAGCTTGCTCTCTGTCACATCCAGAGTTACACATGTCCGTGTTTGCCAAGCTCTGTAGAAATGTATCCCATGTTTTACAATCATGCTGACCACAGTCAATGCACTATTTTTACAAAGCATCTGGACAGCACCAGATCCCATAATAGACGTGACCCTGTCGATTTTCTAGTCCCCAAGTGGGACTTACTCTTGCTGGAAGAACTAAATGAGAAGAATCTCAAGAAGCAACATCACTTTGTGTGAAGAATTCCTTCTAGACCGTGGTTTCTGAGGCAGAGATGGAAAGATGGAGAGATGATCTGCCACAGCACAGAGGGCCTGGCACGGAATCCAGGCTCTCAGAACCAAATTCATGAAAAACGACTGGGCTTAAATTATTCAGGGAACTGGCCTAACCCAGCAAGACGTGTGTCCAGGCTGTGGAGAGCTGAGCTGGGAACACCGGCCTGCTTTGTCAGTTAGAAACTCGGGGGCATGTTGTCTGGGCCCAGGGAGTGGTGCCCCGGACGCGGGCTCCCTGCGGACTCCCCATCTGGGTCCTGCCTCTCCCGTGAGTTCCATACGGACCGTTTCTCTTCGTGGCCCCTGGGGCATCAGGCAGTGCAGGTCTCTGTGATGGCACCCTGCTCGCTCCTTGGTCCTCCCCCTCCCGTGTTTGAGCAGAGACCACATCTGACCCGGGCCCTCTGCCCCTGCTCCTCACACTTGCTGGGGCGCAGCCCCCACGGCCCCCCAGTGCACCTCATTCCTGGTTGCCCCCATCAGAGATGAATGGGATGGACTCTCACCCCCAAAACACCCCTGGACTTGGCGTTTCCTCGACGCCGGCCGTTCTCGGATCTGCCTGATGGGACAGGTGCCTGAAGACCCGTAGTCGTGACCAGGTGAGCCGACCTCGGATGGGGAGGTGCTTGTGCAGGCCTCGCGCATGTCCGCCCGCAGACCCGGCCCTGACTCCGACCTCCCTCTGCCCTTTGTCCTTACGGGCACCTGTCACTGGAGTTGGGGCTGCCCCGAAGGCCAGCATGTTTTTCACCTTGAGATCCGGGACATAGGTACACCTGCAAAGTCCCTGTTTCCCAAGGTCACCTTCGCGGGCTCTCTTGTGGAGGAGGGCGACACCTTTCAACCCACAGCCAAGGGAGGGCTCTTCAAAGTGGAGGCCCTCAAACACACCACTAGCCCAGCGGATACTCTTATCTGCAGGAGAACAGAAGGAAAGGCGGGGGACAGAGTCCCCACTGCGGGGCCGGGCCGTCAGGGTCCCCCGCCTTCCCGGCGACCAGCTGCCGGTCCTCGGCTGAGGTCCTCGCGAAGCCCCCTCCCGACTCCCAGACTCAAGAAGTGACGTAATCCACAGGGAGGCCAATCAGAGCGCCCCGTCTCCTCGGGCCATCGTGATTGGTCCACGGCAGGGCGCGCCGTCCAATCAGAGCCAAGGAGATGCACCCTGCTTTCCCACCTGTGCTGGGAACTGGACTGCCCTCCCCAGAGCATCGCCCAGCCCGAGGAAGGTGTGGAGCGAGAAAAGGCCCTGGGTCCTGCCGACATCTTGAGCCCCCGGCCCAGCGGGCCCGAAGGCACACACCCCTGGACTTCTCACCGAGGCCGGCCAGTGAGTCCCCTGCACCACTCACATTGTTCCTGCCTGATGGACCTGCGGAGCAGAGAATGGAGAGTATATCCGGACGGTTCTATTGCCCTGCTTTCCCGGGAGCCTGTGCTCTCCCCAGAGTGGCCGGCAGCTTGGGAGCTCTGTGTCTGAGTCAGGAACCAGCAGGGGCCTGAGCTTGCACAAAGAGCATTTTCCATCTGGTGAAGGCGGCGTGTCTCTAAGGTGAGTGGCTGCCATGACCCCTAGGGTGAAGCGCAGGTGGCCTGGCAGGAACGTCTACATCACGTGGAAGGTCATGAGAACAGGCACCTCGCACGGGCCACCCGTGTCCATCTGCTGCCTCCTCCAGTGCCACACCATAATAAATCCTGGGGACTCATGGCCAGAGCTGCAGGGGGGAGGCCAGCCACGTGTGTGTCTGCATTATGGAGGGTGGAAAGGGGCTGAGTGTCCACTGAGGCAGGGGCACGTTGCCCTCCACAGCCTGCCATGCCCCCACAGCCCACCTCACCAGCACAGCCTATTTCTCTTCATGCCCAGTGCACCCCCCCTGCTGGTTCTTTGTCCCCTCGTCCTCCACATGGCTGGTTCCTCTGTTCTTTGGGTCTGCTACAGGCTGAACTGTGTCCCCCCAGGTTCATACATGGGAGCCCTGACCCCCACACCTCAGGATGTGACTGTGTGGGGAGACAGGGCCTTACAGAGGTGACAGGTGGAGTGGGGTCCCCCGGGTGGGCCTGCCCCCTACGACTGAGTCCCCGTGGAGAGCAGAGCAGGGTGCAGACATGCACAGGGCACGACCACTGAGGACACGGTGGGAAAGTGGGAAGACAGTGTCTGCACACCAAGGGGAGACCTTGGGAGGAGCCGGCCCTGCTGCCCCTGGATCTGGACTCCCCACCTCCAGACTGAGGAGCGCACTTGTGTGGCTTAGACCATCCCGTCTGTGGTGTTTGCTCTGCGGCCGAGCTGAGCAGGGCAGGGCTAAACTCACTGCCAGGTTGCTCACGGCTCCTCCCTGGCTACCTGGTCTAGAGATGGCCCTAGGGTCCCCACCCATGGCCCTATTTTGTCCCTGCCTCCACCCCTTCCTCTGTGAAATCATGCTGCCATGTCCACTGTTCTTGTCTGGGCGCCACTGTGAGGCTAGAGACACTAGCATGCAGCCCCCAAAACACTGTGGGCTAGGAGGGGCTCACCGGCGCTGTCCGCACGCTAGGGCAGCACCTGGCCCTGGGCGCGGCGGATGGCTGGGGTTCAAAGCCTGTCTGCACTCACTCTGTAGGAGGGAAGTTGGCCCTTTGGAGCAGGGCTGTGTGTGAATGTGAGTGTGAGCATGTGTGTGAGTGTGAGCATGTGTGTGATTGTGTGTGAGAGCGTGAGTGTGAGCATGTGTGTGATTGTGTGGGTGTGAGCATGAGTGTGAGCATTGTGTGATTGGGTGTATGTGTGTGAGTGAGCATGAGCATGCGAGTGTGTGAGCATGTGAGTGTGAGTGAGCATGTGAGTGTGAGCATGTGTGTGATTCTGTGGGTGTGAGCATGAGTGTGAGCATTGTGAGAGTGAGTATGAGTATGTGGGTGTGAGAGAGTGTGAGTGAGTGTGAGCATGCGTGTGAGTGTGTAAGCATGTGTGTGTATGTGTGTGATTCTGTGGGTGTGAGAGGATGAGTGAGAGTGTGAGCATGTGTGAGTGTGAGCATGTGTGTGAGAGTGCGTGGGTGTGAGTGTGTGGGTGTGAGACTGTGTGTGTCTAGCCAAGGCCAGTGGCCTCTGCCATCTTAAGGAAAGATTTGGTGTGTTTACATTTATTGTGGCAGCAAACGTTCGTGGACTCCTCCAGGTGTATCTTCGTATTTCCTTTACTCTTCTTTCCTCTTTTTTCCATCACCTTATTTTTGACTGTTTGCTAAGTTCCTGTTCATCTCCCTTTGCCCCCTGATGAATTTATTCCATCACGTTATTACACCAACAGCCTGTTGCCTTCTGCGGGCTCCTTAACAAACATGCATCATTTAATTACATTGAAGAACCGGACATCCCTTGCCCCTCGCTCAGCCCCCATGCCCAGCCCCTACACCCAGCCTCCGCAACGAGACCCCTAGGAGAACCGCACATCCCCCCCGTGTGCCCCTCAGTCCTTAGGTTTAGCTGAGGCTGTTACCTTCAGCCCCGATGATGAGGCCATCCCTGCAGACTTCACGTCCACTGCAACAGCCTTCAGCTGATGTTGGCCCGGCCCCCCTGCAGCCCATTGCCCACTACCCGGGCAACACCTGGGATACAGGGCTCACTGTAGATGCTGCTCCACAGCCCCCCACTGCATGTGCACTGCAGATGGAACTAGGTGTTGACGGCGCTGGGCTCAGGGCTGGGCTCAGGGCTGGGCCCTACCCACCACCCACCACCCACCACCCCCCACCAGGCCACAGCCTGGCATGACCACCATTCCCTGACTTTCAGCAAGGACGCAGCGAGCTGAGGCTCAGAGCACACGAGCCCATGGCTTCTGACGGATGCAATCACTGAGTCTGGGCGTTCCTCCCCCGGCCTTGTTGTTGCTCTTCCGCTGGTTGTAAGATTTAGAACCGGCTGAGCGGGCACGCCCCACACTGACCGCTGACCGCCAACCGTGTCTCCTGCAGGTGCCGACAGGTAACCCATGCCGCCGACCTGCCCCAGATCTCCGTGGTCTTCATCTTTGTCAATGAGGCCCTCTCCGTCATCCTGCGCTCCGTGCACAGCGTGGTCAACCGCACGCCCTCGCGGCTCCTCAAGGAGGTCATCCTGGTGGACGACAACAGCGACAGTGGTAGGTGGGGGCAGCGGGGCACCCCCACAGCGCAAGCGTGCGGAGCTGGGGGCCGGAGGCCGGAGTCGGTGGGCCAGGCCGCACACCCGGGAGGTTCCCGGCCAGAGTCCTCCCCGCCTCTCGCGGCTCTGGGGACTGGTGGCGTCCTTTGTGCTCGGCTGGGGTTGCATCCCTCCCCCCGTATGTCCCGTCTTGTACGGACACCTGTTGTTGGACTAGGCCCACCCTAAACCCAGGGGGATTTCATCTCAAGATCCTTAACCGGTTACATCCACAAAGACCCTACTTTGAAATGGGTCCCATTCTGAGGCTATGGCTGGACTTGAATTCGGGGGCTCAATTCATCCCCTACAGATGTCACCCAGAAAAGCCCAGGCAGGCTGAGTTCCCCTATCTGCGGATCATACCTCTTGCTTCTTGCCAGTGACAGGGGTGGGGGCTCCAGTGAGGGTCCGCTGCGGGGGAGCTGGGCTGGCACTCACAGCGGGGACCCTGGGCGCATCCCACACCCACCGGGCACGGAGGGCTCACAGCCCCTGCCAGGGGTCCAGAGGTGCCTGGGCACCAGCCGAGCCAGGAGCCTGAACCCACCGTGGGCGGCCCCCAGACTGAGGTCCCGTGGGCTCATCATCCTGGCCTCTCCTCCACACCTCAGGAGGGAGGGAAGTGGAGGAAATTTGGGGGATACCTCCGGAGCCCTCCAAGGGCGGGATGTGCCACGTCCAACCTAGGGTCGGTCTGGATGTCTACGCTGCAGGGCCCGAGCTGACCCTATGAAAGGAGCGAGGGTTGGGTGGCCACCTTCTCTGGAAAGGGCAGGATGGGGCTGGAGGCTGTTCCTAGGAAGGACCGGTGGCCTTCCTGGGTCCCGGGGACAGGTGGCTTCCGCCGGCAGGTTGTGGGGGGACGCCCCGCCCAGCCACCTGGAGAGACCCCACTGCCTCTCTTCTCTGCCAGCCCTGATCTGCTGTAGATGCGCCTGTTTGGGTGCACATTCGGTCTGTGGTGCGTCCTCAAGTCCCTCCTGGTTTTTCCCCTGTGCCTTCACTGAGTTTTTAGTGATTTATGGAGCTGAAATTCTCATAACATAAAATTAGCCATTTAAAACATCAGTGCTCTGTTCAAGGGCATGAAGCACACACACTGTTGTGCAGCCGTCCCCACTGTCCGTCTGCAGAACTTTCCATCTTCCCAACCTGGAGGTCTGTCCCCACTAAATGCTCCCCCAGCCCCTGGCACCCTCACCCTGCCCACTGTCTTATGAAGGTGGCGTCTGTCGGGGCTTCAGAGAAGTGGGATCACACCGCATCTGTCCTCAGTTGTAGGGTGTCACGGCTGAATGCCCCATGGCGTGGACCGACCACGTGTGCTCGCTGTGCATCCATGTGTGGACTCCCTTCTTCACAGGGAAGGAACTCGGTCCCGGGGTCTCCTGTCTTCGTGACACACGTCTCTGTCCACTCAGTCCCATTTGTCTGGTTTTGTCTGTCGTCCCCCCGACTGGAGGGCCAGCCTCACGGGGCGGGGTCTTGTCGCGGTCTCCCCAGCCCCTTGAAGCATGTCCGGCTGCAGGTGCCCTTCAATGGCTGCATGTGTCCAAAGCGTCCGCTCAGCTCCCAGGCCACCTCAAACCCGGCTGTCCCCTGGGGGCCCGGTCTGCCATCCCGAGTACTGATCCAACCCCGAGGGCCTGGAGCCAGGCGCCAGTCTCTCACACAGTCCTGGCGACAGCCCGCACCCCGTGCACGCTTCCAGCATCCCACCTGAAGGCGAGGAGGTGGGCGCGCCTCGCCCTCCCCCGCCCGCACCATGCTGGCAAGTGGGACGTCCCGCTGTGACCCGTTCCCTTACCTACACCTTCCCATGCAGGTGCCCTTCAATGGCTGTGGGGTACCGGCCCATGGCACACAGTGCCCCAGCCTGCCCACACCAACCTGGGGCGACCTCAGGGCCCTTTCGGGGCGCAGGCGTGCTGAGGCATCTCTGTGTCCCCTGCAGTGGAGCTCAAAGCCAGCTTGGATCAGTACGTCAACAGGCGGTACCCCGGCCTGGTGAAGATCGTCCGCAACAACCGCAGGGAAGGCTTGATCCGGGCGCGGCTGCAGGGCTGGAAAGTGGCCACGGCCCCCGTGGTCGGCTTCTTCGACGCCCATGTGGAGTTCGGCACGGGCTGGTGAGAGTGGGGCGTGGGGGGCGGAGCTGGGGGTGGGGCTGGCTTCGGGGACTCCCTGCAGGGGCCAGCAAAAGATGAGCCTGGGGCCCGGGGCATCCGAGTCCAGCCTGGGGCTTCTCACGCCCAGCTCCTGGGCCGGAAGCTGCTCGGGAGGCGCAGACCGCAGGATGTTATGTGTCCAGCAGGTCACAGCACAGAGCGAGCATGTGCGCATGGCCTCCGACCAGGGCACACACACAGCTGTGGGGCACTTGCCGCGTGCACATGCCGCCCGCGGGGTCCCGATCCGCTGCTCGCAGCCCAAGCCCCCAGCACCAGTTGGAAGCAGTTTCTTGTCCTGGGGGCCCTCTCGTCCACCGTGCAGGGGCAAAGTGGGCCTGTAACGAGACGCCTGCAGGGGGACGTGGCCAGGGAGTGGCGGGGATACACGGTGATTCAGGAGCGGGTGTGCAGGATGACCTAGCGTTGTGACCCCGCACCCCGCACCCCAGCAGGAAGGCGGGGGCTCCAGCCCTGGGCTCATGCTTGCCCTGCAGGCCGATGCTCCGTGTGGCCTCTGGGCCAGCAGCCCCTATGGGCTGCAGGAAGTGCAGGTCTGCGTGGCCTAGGGTCTGCAGCGTGGGGCCCCGGGGTCCTGGCGCGTGCCGAGGATAGAGCCTGGGTCCCCTGGAAGCTTCCTCCAGCTCTAAAGCAGCCTTAAGAATGGTATCAGTTGCCCAGCACGTTATCGCCAGTCGAGGGGGAGGCCGGGTCCCTGGGGAGTGTTGGACCCAGGGCTGGTCCTGGCGCCTCTGTCCAGACCCCGCCGTCCAGACTCAGAGGGTGCGCTGATATCCTCAGAGCCCGTGTCCAAGGACGCCTTGACGAATAGCAGGACATGCTTCCGAGTGTTCTGAAAGCGCCGGCTGTTCCCTTAACTTCTCTGATGGCTGCACATGGGGGTGCCCTGTGCAGATGAGCAAGGGATATATCGTGGGCGGGGGAGGGGGCGGGGGCAGCGATCCTGCGGCAATGCTGTAGGTAAGGGAACGGGTCACGGCGGGACGTCCCACTTGCCAACATGGTGCGGGCGGGGGAGGGCGAGGTGCGCCCACCTCCTCGCCTTCAGGTGGGATGCTGGAAGCGTGCACGGGGTGCAGGCTGTTGCCAGGACTGTATGAGAGACTGGCGCCTGGCTCCAGGCCCTCGGGGTTGGATCAGTACTCGGGATGGCAGACCGGGCCCCCAGGGGACAGCCGGGTTTGAGGTGGCCTGGGAGCTGAGCGGACACTTTGGACACATGCGTGTGCCTGGGAGCGGCCTGTGGGCAGAAGGAGGGTTGACCTCGCGTATCAGCGTCCCGGGGCTCTGACCACACAACCCGGGTGGCTCTAAACAACAGAAACTACTCTCTCGTTTCTGGGGCCCGAAGTCCACTGAGGGGACACTGGTATCAGTCGAGCCACACCCCCCAGAGGCGCCCGGGGTGTCCTTCCTTGTCTCCTCCAGCCTCCAGGGTCTGCGGCATCCCTGGGCTGTGGCCACAGCCCTGCAGCCTCTGTCCTCCCCCGGCTTCTCCACCGAGTGTCCGTGACTCTCCTCTTCTGTTTCTTGGTGTGTGTGTGGGGGGGTCCTCATCGTTGGCCTTAGGGCCAGCCACTTAATCCAGGTCAAAGCTGCAGTGGGTGGGTCTCAGGGGCCGCAGCGCCCACCTGCGTTGCCGCAGGGAGAAGTTGGCTTACGGTGGCGGCTTGCCCCATTTCAGTAGAAACTAAAACTCATGATTTTTGTATCAAATCTCCCAACGCATATTTTTAAACGCTGCGAAGCCTAACGTAAGACATTCCCTGGGATACCAGCCGCGGGAAACGAGGGGTCGGCGGTGGCGGCTCCGACTGAGGACTGGTGGCCTGGCGGGGTCCTGAGTCTGCGCGGTCCCTGTGCATGGTTCCCGCGTCCCCAGCTGGTCCGCGAGGGTCTGGCGCCCCGGGGTCTCCAAGGTTGTGGTTTCCCTCCAGCTACCACTGGCTCCAGCAGGGGCTCGGCGTCTCCTAGTGGAGCCTTCTCCTTCCCCTCTCCTGGAGGGTCTCAGCCGCCCCAGCACCACGCGCTTGTCACGAGGGCCGGTTCTGTCCCCGCACGCTTGGCAGAGATGCGAGTTTCTTCTGCTCGGCTTCCCCTCCTGGCCCCCGTCTTTCTCCGCTCTGCCACCCTCGTGAGACAGCCCTTCTTCTCGAGAACTACAGTGTGTATCACCTTGTATCCTTCATTACGGATCACTGCCTGCCCCCACCAGGGTCACTCCACGGGGCTGTGTAGGCTGCGCACTGCACAACTGCACTTGCGGGTGGTTCCTCCCTCGGGCATTTGGAAGCCGTCTGGGAGAGGCGCGAGTCTGTCACTCCAAATGCAATTTTAAACGAGTGTAACTTTCATTTTCACGACCAAAAACCCAGTTATCCGTCTGCAAATAGCCCTCCCCTCCCAGAGCAGCCCCCACAGGGATGCTGCCTCATTAGCAGATGTGGCATTTACAGAGGGCTCTCCATCTCTGGGCACTTTGCGAACAGTAATTAATTAATCCTCCTCGCAAAGCTGAAAAGCAGGTAAATACCAGGCTGTCGCTCAGCAGGATGGGGAAGAGGATGGGCCACGAGGCAGATGTCGCCAGGTGGGACCAGAGGACCTGCCCCCGGGGCTCCCCCCCTCCCCGCGGCTCCCGGCCCCTCTGCGGCTCCTGGTCACCCGGGCAGCGGGCAGCCCATGGCCACAGCTGAACTCCAGCTCAGAGGCTGGGCTTCTGGTCGTGTCTCGTCCTTGCGGGGGATGGGGCACGTCCAAGGGCGAAGCCGCACCTGCTTCCCCGTGGACAGTCTGCAACTCACGCTGCTGTCCAGAGAGGTCACCCGGAAGCCCGTGTCCTCGGGTCCCTCTGCTCGCTGGCTTCACCATGTCCGCTGCCCCCACTTCTCCATTCCAGGCTCACATCCCAGGGCCTCAGCGCTGGCCGCGCCCTCCCCATCCCCCTGACACCCACCGGCCCCCCACCCCCTCCTGCTCGTTGCCCAGGGCAACCTACACGGATGCCCTGTTTAAAACTGCAACCCCAAGTCAGCCTTACCTTGCTCTCTTTCCCGCAGGATACCGGTCACCTTCTAACATAGCTTCCCTTATATGTTAATGGCTGCCCGCCCACCCTCTCAGGGCCACTGCGTACTGCTGTGTAGGTTGCACACTGCACAACAGTACCCAGGAGCCTCTCTCGTCCTTCCAACAGACCGTAAGCTCTCTGAGGCATGGATTTTCTTTTTAAGTCTATGGAGGTATTCCAGTTTGTTAGACCAGGGCGTGGCACATAATCGGTCCTCAAATTAGTGCCTGTACGGGAGCGTACCTTCCACAGGAGCAGGGAAGGAGGGGCGGGGAGTGGGATCCGGAGCCGGAAGGGGAGGGCGAGGCCCCGGGCGGCGCAGGTCTGCGGCCAGACACGCCCTGGGCTCCCGACGTCAGTCCCCCTGCCTGTGGGCGGCGGGCCCCTCCTGGGGGCGCAGGCTGCGGGGTCCCCGCGCCCCTGCCCTTCCTCACGGGCGTGCGCCTCCCCGCAGGGCTGAGCCCGTGCTCTCGCGGATCCAGGAGGACCGCCGTCGCATCGTGCTGCCGGCCATCGACAACATCAAGTACGACACGTTTGAGTTGCAGCAATACGCCAGCGCGGCCCACGGCTACAACTGGGGCCTCTGGTGCATGTACATCATCCCGCCCCAGGACTGGCTGGACCGCGGGGACGAGGCGGCGCCCATCCGGTGAGCGCGCCGGCGGGGCCCTGGGGGGCGGGCCCGGGCGGGGGGAAGGGGCGGGGCTTGGGGCGGGGGGGGAGGGGTGCGCCCGCTGCGGGGGCGGGGCTTGGGGCCGGGGTGGGGGGGGTGCGCCCGCTGCGGGGGCGGGGCTTGGGGCCGGGGTGGGGGGGTGCGCCCGCTGCGGGGGCGGGGCTTGGGGCCGGGGTGGGGGGGTGCGCCCGCTGCGGGGGCGGGGCTTGGGGCCGGGGTGGGGGGGTGCGCCCGCTGCGGGGGCGGGGCTTGGGGCCGGGGTGGGGGGGGTGCGCCCGCTGCGGGGGCGGGGCTTGGGGCCGGGGTGGGGGGGTGCGCCCGCTGCGGGGGCGGGGCTTGGGGCCGGCCGGCGTGGGGCGGGACTGCTGACCAGTGGGGGGCGGGCAGCAGGGGGTGCGCGCAGGGAGGAGGAGCCAGGGAAAGCGGCCGCCCGGTGGGAGCCGCAGGCGCGGGCCGCGGGGCCCAGAGCCCTGCAGAGACCCCACAGCTGTCCTCAAACGCACGTATTCAAATCGGTTCCTAAACGTGAAAACAGATTTTTACATGTTAAAAGTACACAGATCCCGCACCTTTTGGGAGGTGGGAAGGCCCACACTCTCACAAGGCGGCCATCGCCCGAATTGAGAAGGGGCTGCGTCTAAACAGGCGTGGGCCTCCAGCGGCCGCAGTCACCACCGCTCCCCGTCGCCCCCAGATCCTCTGCCACCTGCCGATCCCTGTCCATCATCAGCTCCGGTCTGCAACCCCGGCCCCGTCTGCGGAGCCCTGGGAATCCGGGCTTCCTAACTAGGTCCTGGGGGTGCAGCCACGGAGCCTGTGGGACTGGCTGACCCCCGGGGGCCCCCCACAGGGGCTTGAGATTTCAGGGGCTGGGAGCCGCCTGCCCCCCACTCTGTTCAAACTGGCATGTCCCTGCCAAAATACTGCTGAAACTGCTCACTGTGCCCAGGAGCCACGGGAGCTGTGTCTCACTGTGCCTTTGAAAGCTCTCTCCCCGCAGAGGGCCTTGCGGGGGCTTCCAAGCACCAGCCCTGCGGGCAAAGAGCAGCGGGGACATCCAGCCCGAAGGCAGCAGACACTGGGGAGCAATAGCCCGGCCCGAGACCTGCACCCCGCTGATTTTAAGGAGAACCATTGTCAGCACAGAGGGCTGCTCTGAGCAGTAAGACCGGGAGTCCCCAGAAGCCAGGGCAGCAACCCCCTTGGGCTGGCGCTGTCCCGGTGGCCACGTCCTCAGAGACAGGCCCCGATGCTTCCGAGAGCCGCAGGGAGCACGAGCTGGGGCTCTGGGGCCTTTGCCGTCAAAACGGGGCACAGAGCCACCCGTGTCCAGAGCGGACCAGCAGGTCCCCGGTTCGCTCGGAGTAGCAGCTTGAAAGGTATTGTTCTTCATTCAGGATGCACTCGATAATCCCTCATTAGGAGCAAAGGCAAAACAAGGGCCTAGTGGTTCCCGTTTTAGGAGTTAGTGAAGTCAGAGACCCCAAGGGGAAGCACCTGAAATTTTTGGTATCCTCTGGATGCCTCGAGCTGCACGGGAAGGAGGATTTTCTGGCCCAACTCTGTCTTGTCTCAAACTTTGCTCATCACTAGCACCACCTGAGAGCTTTTGAAAACCCTGATGCCAAAACTCCAAATAAAACACAGGTGAAGCCTTTAAACAGAGTCAACACTGAAGGAGATGGGTAGGGCCGGCACATCATGGAGATGCCCACCGGCCTCTGCCAGGAGGGAAATGCGCACGTGACCGCCAGCAGGTGCCCAGGCCCATTGGGAGGGCCGCGCCGGGCGCTGCTGAGGACGCGGGCAGTCGGAGCTCCCACACGAGCCCGGAGGCAGAACTGGCAAAACTGCTTTGGGAGACCGTTTGGCGGTTTCTCCTCACGGGGCAACCATGTCCCGCTGGGCACGCCGTCCCCGTGGCCGTGGGCCTGGAAGCCTGGGTCCACGTGGAAACTCACGTGGAGGCTCCCAGCGGCCGCACGGTTCTCAGTCATGGAAATGCCCCAGACGACTGTCAGGTGTGAACAGGGAGGCCGAGGGGCATCTGCCCAGCTTCCAGCTCACTTTGCGGAGCCCAAGGGACAAACTGTCATCCATGTAACAACATGGGTGAGACTCAGGACCGTCGGGCTGGGCCAGCGAGGGTGCAGGTAGGAGACATGACTGGTTTTGGGGTGCTGCATGCTGGCTTTGAGCTGGCACTAACTCCTGGAGACCCCGTGTCACGGGGGCCTCCAGGCAGACGTGGGGGACGGGGGCTTTGCTCAGGGCCACGGTGGTGGGGCTCGTGGGTCCCTGGGGCTGTTCCCCTGGCTCTCGAGGGGCTGGAGTCGCGCACTGAGTACTGAGCCCTCGGCCCTTAAAGCCGTTGCGCCTCGTCCTTGTCCTCACCGGGAGGACGCCCTCAGGCCCCCCACCTGGACAGGGCTTCCCACCGCCGCCCGCGGGGCAGACCCTTCAGAGGACACGCTGCACCCGGCTCTCGGCAGAAGGCGCTCTTGGAGGTCGTACGACCCACCCCGCCTGAACGGATGGCTTCCAGCCCAGCGGGGGGGGGGTCTCTCCTGGAAAGCGCTCTGACGAGAGCTCTCCCCACCCCCGCGTCGCTCGGGGGAAGAGCTGCTGCCCTCCCCACTGACTCGCCTGCACATCGGAAGCCGGGCCGGGAGGGGCTGGTATTTGAGGATTTACTTGAGGGAATTTTTTTGCTCTTCATTATACTTGAAGCTCAAGCAGGAGGGAAGAGTGGATGGGAATGATGGAGCCGGGACTTCCGGGAGAAAGTGTGTCAGCCCGGCGGCCGCCTCGTGCACCCAGGAGCGGCGTGTCAGGCTGCATGCTGCACGTCCCACGGCCATGAGCCCATGGGCAGGGCTGGAGCTCCCGTCCCCAGGACTGGTGCAGAGTCACCCATGTGTCCAGCAGACGGTGAGGGCCCTGTGGGTGTGAGCCGGCTTCCAGCGGGCACAGGGCCCCAGGACAAGCCTGCAGGAAGGGAGACCTTCGGGTCCGGCTGGGGGGTCCTCCCAGCACCCTGCCCCTCGCAGTCAGGAGTGCGTGGGGGGAGGGCCCGGATCTCACACACATACCTACACACATACCCACATGTGCACCTGCAGACCAGCACAGAGATCTACTCCCACCTGCACACACCTGCACACGTGAACACAGACATGCATATGCATGAGGATGCACTTCCAGGCACACACACAGGTGCTTCTCTGGTCCCCGTGGAGGAACAGTGACCGTTTCCTCTCTGACTTTCTCGCTTGTCTTCTGAGAGGTGCTTCCCGTGGTGCTGGGTGGTTCCCACAGCCACAGGCTCGGTGGCTGGGTCCCGACGTCCCCCGAATTCACTCCGGCCTCCGCGCGGATGGCCTCCAAGCTGACCTCTGTGCTGCAGCGTCCTGTGGATGCACCGGCTTAGCCCCCAGGCCAAACGCCCGCGGCAGGGTCGGGAGCGCAATCCTGGCCAAGGCTCCCCGCTGCAGACACTCGCTGCGTTCACGGGCCGCGGTCGTCCGCACGGCAGTCCGTGGGAGGTGGGGAGGCCGTGTCCTGCCCTCGGGGTGCAGGTGGAGGAGCCGAGCACAGGGAAGGCCACCCGGCCCGTGGGCTCAGAGCCCACCGGCCCTCGCCGCCCTCGCCACCTCTCGGAGCGCACGGGGTACTTCCGGCGGTCGCTTCAGAGCCTTCCAAGCGGGCCGATCCCATCCACACCGGTGTCTCCACACACTCGCGTGGAATATACGCAAATGGCCCCTCGCAGCCCGTGTGCTAGGACACTGCACGTTCCCCCCGGGGCCGTCCCCTCGCGTGTGCCTGGCCACGCCCCTGAGCACCGTTCATCACGATGCCAGAGCAGGCTGGCTCACCTTTGACCTTTGTCGGACTCCTGAAGGCCAGAGGGCGCATTTGGGGTCTTCATTTTACCAGCCGCCCTCTGTGCGGGGCTCCGGGGTGGGGTTACGTGGCTCGGGAGCGTGTATCTGTGTGTCCGTGCGTCTGTGCGTGTCTGCATGTCTGTTACAAGGCAGGAGCCTCGGGGGGGCCCCCGGCCGTGGGCCGCGCATGTCCCACAGCAGCCCGGATGTAAGGTGCCCCACGGCGACGTCTCCCCGGAACCCAAGAACCCCTCAGCCAAAGCAGCCCGAGCCTTGCTGCGTTCTGTAATCACGGCAAGAGCTTCCCAGGCAAACAAACTCAGCGGCCGCTGATTCTGTCCCCATCACCTCATGAGTTTAAGTTCATTTTGGAACTCTGAGCAATAATAAAAAAATCATTACCAGTTATAATAGACTTGGCAGGGAATTTGGCACTTTGATTCACCAGAGATCACCCTGAGGTTGTTCGTTGCTATGAAGAAAATGAGAGAAGTGTGTGTAGTACGTCAGTGAGTTATAACTTAACCCGTCAAACACTTGCCATGAAAAGTCAAAGGCAGCATTAAAATTTCGTTACCATTAGATTTGTGACCAAAATCTAATGACAGAGCAAATTGATCTTTGCACAAATGAAAGGATAATCGTTTTTTAATGCCTCTGTTACTCTTGGACGACCGATGGGCATTTACTTCTGACTTCCCATTCACCGAGCAGAAATGTTTCTCTTAAATTGTGACAGAGACCCGTTTTTGCCGTTGTTTTAGGGAAGAGGGATGTAGTCTCTGCAACAGCAGCTGGAAGAGGAGGGAGCAGGTCCGGCCCCACCTCGGTGCTGGAGCGGCCCCGGGGCCTCCGTGGACGCCTAGAGGCCTTTGCTGGCTCCTCTCAGGGCTTGGAAGACACCAGCCCCTCAGCCTACAAGCAGATGGGCTGCGTCTTTGTTTTGAGGCAAAATCTTTCACCAAAGCTTAGACGTCCTGCTTCCTTACGGCATCTAGACTGCCTCCTCCTTGCGAGAGACACACTTTCAGTTTCTTTTTATCCTTACCGCCTAGAAGACGCTCACTGTTCCCTAAATTCATGACTGAGTGAATGAGTGAATGAATGCATGATACCATGCACAGTGATGCTGTCTCATTGTGCCCTGATTTACTCTTGGTGCTCCGTGAGACTGTTTCCCAGGGACCCACAGCACTGGTAGATTTGTAATGCATACTAGAAAAAATATAACTGGCACACAGATGCCTGAATTCACAGATACAATTTCTGTAGACGAGGCGAGATTTACTGATGGTTTTTAAATGTGTGGGTGTAGATAATTATAGAAATAATAGAACAGATGGCGATCTATAGTCTATAGCTCCACAGGTTGTGCACTCAAAAATTTCAAGGTGTGTTATTCAGAAAGTTCGATGTCAGTAAGGGTCCATAGAGTTGAGCAGTGCACAACCTACGCCATGGCCCAGTGCAGCCCTGGGTCCTGGCCTACAGACGGGACAAAATGCTGAGGGAGGAAGGCAAGTGACTCAGGCTTGGGAAATGATGGTCAGGACAACCAAACAACTCTCTAAGTAAACTGATGTCTTTAAAATCCCTACACTAATTCGCCTGAGTTGAGTGCTGGTTTTTGTCGTCTGCTGATGTTCTTCGGTTAGCGTTTGGACTTGGCTTGTGCTGGGTGCTTTCCCAGGCTCTGAAGGATACAAGCACGACACCAAGGGGGGCCCACCTGTATCCTGGAGGTGAGAAGCAGCTGTCCCGAGTCCTGGGCTCTCCCGGCCACCGCCTGGTCTGTGCTGTGCGCCCACAGCAGGTTGGGGCTCAGGGTTACGCACCTGTGACCCACTCATGCACTGTCTCTGCTCCCCGCCAGGACCCCCGCCATGATCGGCTGCTCATTCGTGGTGGACCGGGAGTACTTTGGGGACATTGGGCTGCTGGACCCGGGCATGGAGGTGTACGGCGGCGAGAACATCGAGCTGGGCATGAGGGTAAGTGGTGCTGCTCGGGAACACTGGACCCGTCCGGAGAACAGAGGTGGGGCGGGCAGGCCCGTGCGCTGCTGGTTCCTGGCCGGTGGGAACCAGGAGTCAGCGTGAGAAACCACCACGTGATGCGCGTCTATTCCATTGTGAACACCACTTGCTCTCGGTGCTGCAGGGTGGTTGGAAACATTCGAAGCTGCTCCTTCAGCGCAGGGAACTGTCGGAACTCGGGCTGTCCTGCCTGCCATGCACACAGTTCTAGGTTTGTCTCAGTTGGATGTGGAAGGCAAGGGTGCAGATGGGGGTCGTGGGCACCGGAGGCCCCGTAGCTGCTCCTGGTGCTCGTGCAAAAGCCCCAGGCAGGACTGGGCCACTGGGGCCCCGCTGGGGAGGGCATGGGGCTGCACAGGCAGGGGAACCCCTGAGGGAGGCCCCAAGCTGAGATCCATGAGCCTCGGCCCCCACCCCTCCCATCCTCTTCCCTGGACCCCAGGGGCCCCTCCTGGTTTCAAACTTCCTCGCCTGGCAGCTTGGAGAACTAATGGAAAGTTCTGGAAGAATCTTGGTTGCAAATCAGGGACTCTGGGGTGGCAGAGCTCCTTCTCTCTTGGATGTCCGAAGCTGAGGTCCGACCTAGCCCCCGGGGAGGGCACTTTGTTGCTCAGGGCTTTGGGGAATGTTGGTGGCTGGGAACACAGGTCCCCTCAGGGACAGCGCCCCCGACAGCCCTCAGAACCAGAACCCAACACATCTGAACAGGCAGCTTTGGAGATCTTAAGCGCTCAGAGAGCCTGTTCCCCGCCAGCGCTGGGCGAGACCCTCTTCCCCGGAGCCCGCGTTTCCCCAGGGGGCTGGGCCTCGTTTACCACATGCCGTGAGCGCCGGCTGTGCGCCAGGCCTCCAGCTACGGAGGGAACAGATGCAACAGATCTGCTTCCAGGGAGGAGGTGAGAGAGAAACTGTGTCACTTAGTGAGAAGCACCAAAGGGAGAAAGGATGCAGGGAGGGGCCGGAATACAGAGGAGGGGGCAGTTTTAAAGATAGCAGTCTCCCCCCACCCCCAGAAGGGACATCTATAGAAAGACCTCCAGGTGCCATGAGGTAGCTGTGGATGATCAGGGGAAAGGAAGGGTGTTCCAGGCAGAGGGAATGGCAAGTGCAAAGGCCCTGGGGCAGGATCATGCCTGATGTACCCCAGCAGCAAAGACATGTGTGCAGCAGGAGCTCAGTGGGGAGGGGGGAGGAGGAGAAGGTCCGGCTTCTGCTCTGAGGGAGCTGGGGCCATCGGAGACTCTGAGCAGAGGCCTGCTTCCATGTTTCCAAGATCCCTCTGGCCCCTGGGATTCGGGGTGGAGGGAGTGCGGGCAGAAGCAGGGAGGCCAGGGCTTCTGGAACGATGCAGGGAGATGAGGTGGTGTGGACCAGGGAGGAGGTGGTGAGATCCTGCGTGGTCTGGGTGCATTTTTGAGGAAGCGCCCCCAGGGTTTGCTGGGGGATGGGATGGGGGCTCAGGGAGGTCAGAGCCGCCTTGCTAGTACTTGTCCTGAGCAGCTGGCGGGTGGAGAGGTCCCCATGGTGATGGAGACGCGGCAGCCTGCAAAGTCCCGGTCGTCACCTGGAGCCCGGGGCTCGCAGAGGCCGGGGCCGCACCCCACCGCCGGGTCGGCATGGGCTGACTCTCCTCTGCAGGAGTGGCTTTGAGAAAAAATGATTCAGTGCTGCATTTTGGTTTGAAAAGAAATGAAATTGGGTTTTGATGTGGAGCGGATGGCGCATTCGAGGACTGGTGTTCCTGGCGGGGCTGGGTGGCGGGCTTTCCACGGCCATGGGGCCTGCGATGCCAAGGTCGTCACTCCTGAAAACCAGCGTGGCTTCCAGGGAATGGGCTGGGCCCTCCGCTCAGGTGCATCGTTGTGACCCGGCCCCCACGCCCCTGCCTCCCACAGCATTCACGCTCCAACCACATCCCTGCCCGCCCGCCCGCCCGCTGTCCTGAGAGCAGCTCCCGCGGGAACTGAAGCGCTCTGCCCGAGGGCGCGGATGCCTGCCTCCAGCGGTTCCGGCCTGACTCGGTCACGGGTCCAAACTGTGACGGGTTCTGCTCACGTGGCTTGGGAACGGGGTCCTCTGTTATGGGCCCAGCCGGGACAGGAGGCCCTCACGGGTCTGCAACTCCGTGACTCCAGGCAGTGGGATGGCCATAAGCGGGCAGGGGCAGGTGCCCAGGCCTGGGTTCTCAGACTCGGGCTGCACCTCCATCCTCTAGGGGTTTCCTTAAAATGCAGACCGCTGGGCTCCACCCCAGACACTTACACTCGGGGGGGTGGGCAGGGCCCAGGCGTCTGCGTTTCCAGCACATTCTCAGGGGCTGTGGATGCTGCTGGCCCAGGCCACCCACTCGGGGAACCAGCCCCGCGCACCCCGCAAACACCCAGGAGCAGAGCCGGGGTGCCTGGCTGGGGCTCAGTAGGCTCGGTGGTGCAGCCCAGCTGCGCTCCGGTTGGGGTGGGGTTCTGGGGGGTTTGCTTGCTTTTGCTCTGGAGCCTTTCTTCACAGAGATTATTTAAGGCTGATCTTGAAAAGTTGCCACACAGTTTGTTGAAGTTACACGTTTCTTTTTTTTTTTTTTTTTTAAAGATTTTTTTTTAATTTTTATTTATTTATTTGAGACAGAGAGAATGAGAGAGAGAGAGCACATGAGAGGGGGGAGGGTCAGAGGCAGAAGCAGGCTCCCCGCCGAGCAGGGAGCCTGATGCGGGACTCGATCCTGGGACTCCAGGATCATGACCTGAGCCGAAGGCAGTCGCTTAACCAACTGAGCCACCCAGGCGCCCTGAAGTTACACGTTTCTAAACCTATTTGCTTCAAGCTTTTAAGTTAAACCTAGGTGCTCCGATTATTATGGTTATAAATCTAATCCAGTAAGAACATTCACCTTCCCTTCTTCTCTGATTAATGTTTGATTAACTCGGGTTGAACAGATTAAATGCCATTAAACACCAATCAGTTCCATTTCTGCCTTGAGTTAATTAAATTCCCTTGAACCTTTTAAAATGACACAAATATAATGTGTTTACTCTCCTGCTTAAGCACTTTGAATGTCTGATATCACAGCAGAAATCCCCCCCCACCAAGTGCTTAGAAGGTTCTAGTGCATCCGATACATTGAGCTTCTACCAAACCTCAGGTTCTCTGAAGCATTTCAGAGTTGCTGGCAATTCTATTTAATTCTCTGACACGGTTTAATTTTAAATAGAAAATTTAGAGTCAACCTTCAGTCATACGTGTTGAAAATGGAATCAGGAAGTTATTCTGGCAGATTCTTCAGGATGCTGACTTTTCTCGACTGTGTTGATCATTAAATACGAATCCTTCACTAACGGTTCCGGATCCTCCTGTGACGAGTGAGCTCTGTGTGTGCCGTGCTTCGGGCCTGACCCCCCTCTGTCCCCCAGGGAGGCCGCTGTGGGTCTGTGCGCGCACACAGGGGTCCTAGGAGCCCTTAGCCCACACTGCAGACTCCAAGGGGGCCGGGGAGCCGGGCTGCTATCCCCTGACGCTCGGGCTGGGTGGGGGGCAGTGGGAACCCGGTGAGGACAGCAGAGGACAGCGCTGGGGAGAATGCGTCCACGGCAAGCATCCATGCAGGGGCAGCGGGAAGCCCCGAATACTCTCTGCTCCCCTGTCTCCTTCCAAAGCAAGCCTGTCTGGGCCGAGGGCAGGAGGGTCTGCGCGTGGCCCTGACGACCCCCAGGCTCAGAGCAGAGGCCCCTCCAGGATCCTCCCCGGCGGGCAGAGGGGGGTTGGGCCAGCCCAGTGGGACAGGCAGGGAATGTCAGCCTGCGGTGGGAGGAGGCCAGGCAGGGGCTGTGCCGTGGCTTCAGGGGGGCCCGCAGGGTCGCGCAGAAGCTGGCCTGGGGGACAGGACAGGGAGGGAGAAACAGGGCAGAGAGATCCAGGCGCGTGGACGCACAGGGGCCGGGGAGGCGGACAACCCCATCCCCAGAGGAAGCAGGAGGAGCAGGCTGAGCCCCCCACAGCGGTGCGATGTGGTTCTCCCAAGACTGGGGGTCCCCGCCAGGAACCGGGTCCTGCACGGACAGCGACTCCCCTGGGAGCCTGACCTAGCTGGGCAGAACTTGGCAGGAGGGCGGAGGCGCCGTCCCTGAGAATCTGGCAGGTCAGAGAAAGGGAAAGGAGCTGAGTCCCACAAGGGGGGCTCTCCCGGAGGATGGGCAGAGTGCTGCGTGTCGGGGGGCCATGGCACAGGGATGCCCTGCTGGGAAGGGGGCGCCCAGCAGAGGCCACACGTGGCGAGTGACCACAGGGAGGGGGCGTCCTGCATGGTGGAGTCCAGAAGTGGAGTTGATGCCTGGTAAACGCAAGGTCACGGGGGTGACAGAAGGTGGCAGAGCTCCCCCAGCCCCACAGGTGAGGCGTCCCCGTGGACAGCCAGCAGCCACTGATGGTTTCGGTGCTCAGACAGTGGAGGAAGGACGGGGTCGGGTCTTACCTGGGGGGCCGACGCGGCATCGGAGGTGGATGTTAGCGTAGACAGGAGCCCTCTGGGGTGTTTGAAGAGGGGTGTCAGCAAAAGGAGACTCTGGTGCCTGGCTGTGCTCCGTCCCCGGCGCTGCAACCATGGGTGGGACCCGAACGTCCCCACCTCTGTCTCCACTTTGCACAGTGGGGTCTGGGCACAGGGCTGTGCAGGGTCTTTCCTGGTGAGGGGAGGGCTCTGGGGCTGATGCTGGGGGCGGTGGGGGCTCGGGGGTGGTTTGCGGAGGGAGGCGACGTGGTGTGGCTACGGATATGAATACGGTGTAGACGTGAGCAGACGCCAGTGTAGACGCTAGCGGTGGACGTGCTCACACGGCATCGCTTCACGTGTGTTATGTATCCTTTACGCATCTAAACCGCGCAGACGTGTGTGTTCATATATATTCCTTTCTACTTCTGTTGCTGCCGGGTTCAAGGTAGCTCGCCGGGAAACAGGAACAGCCCCA